GTGTTGATATTTTTATTTAATGTGTGTACGTGTGTAAAATCGCAGCGCTGACGTTTTATCATAGTAAAGGGTGATACGGTCAAAATTTGGTCAATATCAACTTGACGTATTTCTTTCAATTTTGCATTTAAAAAACCTGAACACCCCTCATTTTGAAGGTGTGTGTGTGTAGAATGTTGCTCCTATTTTGATTTTGGAATTCACTCTTCAGTTGTCAAAATGCCGTCCAAACAAGAAGAGCAGCGTATCAAAATTTTGCTCGCGCATCGCGAAAATCCGAGCTACTCGCACGCAAAGTTGGCAAAATCGCTAAAAGTTGCCAAATCAACCGTTACAAATGTAATTAAAGTGTTTGGGGAACGTTTGTCGACAGCCAGGAAGTCTGGATCGGGGGGAAATCGAAAACCGGAAGCCGCTGAGACGACAAAGAGAGTTGCCGGTAGTTTCAAGCGAAACCCTAACCTCTCTCTCCGAGATGCCGCAAATAAGCTGGGTGTATCGTCTACAACCGTGCATCGAGCCAAAAAACTAGCCGGACTATCGACTTACAAGAAGGTAGTGACTCCAAATCGCGATGATAAACAAAATACGACGGCCAAAGCGCGATCCCGGAGGCTGTACACGACGATGCTGACGAAGTTTGACTGCGTGGTAATGGACGACGAAACCTACGTCAAAGCCGACTACAAGCAGCTTCCGGGACAGGAGTTTTATACGGCAAAAGGAAGGGGAAAGGTAGCAGATGTTTTCAAGCACATGAAACTGTCAAAGTTCGCAAAGAAATATCTGGTTTGGCAAGCCATCTGTACCTGTGGCTTGAAAAGCAGCATTTTCATAGCTTCCGGGACTGTCAACCAAGAAATTTACGTGAAAGAGTGTTTGAATAAACGTCTGCTGCCTTTCCTGAAGAAACACGGTTGTTCCGTACTGTTTTGGCCGGATTTGGCATCTTGCCATTACGGTAAAAAGGCCATGGAGTGGTACGCCGCCAACAACGTGCAGGTGGTTCCCAAGGACAAGAACCCTCCCAACACGCCAGAGCTCCGCCCAATTGAGAAATACTGGGCTATTGTCAAGCGGAACCTAAAGAAGACCAAAAAAACTGCTAAGGGCGAGCAGCAGTTCAAGGCAAACTGGCTTTCTGCGGCGAAGAAGGTGGACAAGGTGGCTGTACAAAATCTGATGGCAGGGGTCAAGCGTAAGGCCCGGCAATTCGGATTTGGAAAAGCGGAAGCCTAACTGAATATTTTTCCTGAATTTTATACTAATTGAACTTGAAAAAGAAATTTAATTTGATTTTTTAAATAAACGATTTCACCGATTTACACGCGTTTTCCCTTGACCAAATTTTGACCGTATCACCCTTTATTTAGAGGAAATAAATTACTACATCTTCTGCTTAAACTGATGCAATAGTTATTTTTTAAAGCACTCGGTAGCCTAAACACAAAAATGCTTTTAAAGTGAAATGTTCCGTTTTTTCCGATATGGACACTCGAAATGCCTTACATCATCTTTAGGGTCTCTATTGCTGCAATGATGACTCCCGCAATTGGGGATGATGATTCAACGTCAAGCTCAACATTATAAAAGCAGACCATTTCAGCCTCTAATGAGCTAGATTATCCTTAACTATATGAAGAAATGAGCGGATAATAATCATCCAGTCAATGATTGCCCGATGGTTGTATAAAGATATTCCTTTCTAATTTAGTAGTCAAACCATATACGCGTTGTTGTGTTGTTCTCTGGCTTGGTCCACGTTCCATGATCCACGTTCATCCGTATCGCAGCACGTTCGGCAGGAGTACATAGTCTGAAAATTTATTGTTTTTTGTTATCCTTTCTCCAATCAACAGCAAACACATCGCATTGGAATCAGCTGTGATAGATGTAGTGGTTGCCAGAAAACTTTATTTTTCACTCAACGTTTTGAAAACTATGTTGACACGCTGAAACACCTTCCGACACCCAAAAACACCGAAGAAACACTGTAAGCACGGACACAAGGTGGCAGAGTGACTTACCCCCTGGGCGCAGTGGTTCCTCGTGTGCGTTCTATAGTTTCTAAAAGTAGCCAGAATGTTGTGTTGGAACCTTATATGCGCTTTATGGAACTTGAAAGTGGGTTTTATCGTTGAATGCAGAATTTTTGGTTGCTTGGGAAGAAAGTACTGTCGGAACTTTATTTGAACTTTATGGAACTTGAAAGTTCTGTCGGAACTTTATTTGAACTTTATGGAACTTGAAAGTGAGTTTTATCGTTGAATGCGGAACTTTTGGTTACTTGGGTGTGCATGATCCTGGGGAGTTATTTCCAGAACCGGGTTCTGGTCTACGAGACAGACATGGGGCATAGATCGATTAAGATCACAGTGGGAGTTCCACAAGGCTCCATGCTTGGTCCAACGATCTGGAACGGGATGTACAACAGCGTGATAACGCTGAAGCTGCCCAAAGGAGTTGAGATCGTTGGCTTCGCGGACGACGTCGTCTTGACGGTAACAGGCGAGACGCTGGAATAGGTGGAAGTTTTGTCTACCGAGGCGATCGACATGACTGGATGCAAGGAGCGAAGCTGCAGATAGCCCACAAAAAAACGGAAGTGATGTTGGTCAGTAACTGTAAAGTGGTACAGCGGGCAGTAATCACCGTCGGGCAGCACTCCATAGCCTCTAAGCGTGTGTTGAAATACTTGGGAGTGATGATCGATGACCGGCTAAGCTTCAACAACCACGTCGAATATGCCTGTAAGAAGGCTTCGAAGGCCATCAACGCGATAGCTAGAATAATGCCGAACAACGCTGGTCCCAGCAGTAGCAAGAGGCGTCTTCTGGCCAGTGTGTCGTCGTCGATACTGAGGTATGGAGGTCCAGCCTGGGTTGCAGCGCTGGAAACGAAGCAGAACCAAAGGAAACTGAGCAGTACGTTCCGGCTCATGGCCATTCGAGTGCATATGAAGCAGTATGCGTTATCGTCGGAATGATCCCTATCGGCATCACCCTGGTGGAGGACAGCGAGTGCTACAGGCGGAGAGAAGCCGGAAGAGTACGGAAAGTTGTGAGAGCGGCGGAGAACGGTAGATGGACACATCGACTAATACCGATTCTTTCGACCTGGGTGAACAGAAAACACGGAGAAGTCAACTTCCACTTAACGTCAGTTCCTGTCTGGCCAAGGCTGCTTCAGAAAATACCTGTATCGGTTCGGACCCTTTGTTCGGAGTGTGGAAACGTCAATGAAACGCCGGAGCATGTGGTTTTCGACTGTCCAAGGTTCGAGACAGTGCGAAGGGAGATGCCCGTCCTTAACGTGGAGAATGTCGTCGATGAAATGTGTCGAGAGGAACTTGGAATGCCGTCAACAGACCAGTCACGCAGATTACGTCGGAGCTGCAGAGTACGACAAGTGCATGAGCACAGCCACCCCCCGAAGTAGTCACAGTGGTCCCGGGGGGGATACAGTCAGACGAGAGAGGGTAAGGAATGGGTTTCAGTGGAGCTGCACTAGGTAACTAGTGGATACCACATCGTGCCAACTACACTACAGGCCAGGCTTCTTGAAACTTTCCTAAATCTTACTATAAAAAAACAAAACACACACACACACACACGCACACTAAAATGGCCAGGCCTACTGTGCAGCATTTAAGAGGCAAGGTGATTCATAAAACATCGGGCCTATTTAAATCGAAGATTTAAACACGATGCTTCAGAATCCAATCAATGGATTAAACGTGGACATCTCGTACCGTACGTTCCGGTTTTGTTAATTATGGTTGGTTGGTCGTTGAAAGCATCTGAGCTAGAAAAGCTTTTTTTTTATCTAGTTCGTTTATTTGGAAGGCTCAATCGCGTTAGCTTTACGGAGCCGATAATTCATTGTTCACTGTGTGTAACAAAATTCACTTAATTCTTACTCGCGGCTTACTCGAGGTTAGAAGGGTACATTTTCGAAGGATAGGATCAGGGGAGGAGCTTGGGGTAGGGTTTCGTTGTCTCATCAGAGCGTCAACTAGAAAAGCTAACTGATGCTCCATTTTACTCTGAAGGTTGGGACATAAGCATTATTGTTCTGACCTTTTATGGGTTATGGCTATAGTGCCATTACTCGCTTTCTGAGAGAGGGAAAGGTAGAGAAGAACAAAGGCAAATGGATCATATAGGGCAAACGGCTCTTGTGTTGGCCTAAGGATCTAAGACTGGACCAATAACTGGACCCAAACTAGGGGCATTTAGGCCGACGTTAGATCCATTTCCCCTATATACTCTATGAACTTAACCAATATTTATGATTTTAAATATACAAAATAAAAATTCATAACGGGGGTGGTCACTACCCGAGTCTTGCCACTGTTAACTAAACATAAAAAGTAACAAGGACTCAAATGTGTTGCTTTGATTACTGAAAAATCTTGTTCCCCTGGTTTGAAGTTGCCATGACTAGGGTTCGGTGGTAGATCGCATACCAGTAACGCACCACGAAAAGGTGATCTACCAGGGTTACTGGTTTGAAACGCTAAAATGGACAGACGGGAACGAACTCACCAGGTTTAGCCAATTGAACCTAAAGGCAGCGAAGACCAACATGAACTATTCCGATTTGAGGTAAAGCTTGCACGGAATGTCTTCCCTCGATTTGAGATAAAAGATGTTCGGATGTAGTCGATTTTTGATGTGCATGGACAAGCCTTCTCGAGGCCAATAGTCAAGTTCAGGAGGTTCTACTTGGCTTTGCAACAGTTTGTTAGCGGACGTAGAACTAGATATAATGAGATGCAGCTCTCGCAAGACTTATTTTATCTTAAAGAACTGGTTTTTACCAGATCATCAACCGATTATAGCAAAAAAAAAAAAAATCCACGGGAAAAAAACGAACCTCACGGTTCGATCCATAAAACAAGTTTCACAATTTCTTTTCTAAAATGGCAAATATTTATTTCACAAAAAAAGATCCAACATTATCTTTTACATTTACTGTATTAATAATCGTCTTATGCATAAATTCTGTTTGTAAATATGGAACACATTTTCCGAAAAGGCAACAAACAGCGGCCCACCAGTCGTGCTAGGGCCTACTCCACCGTTTGTTCACCTTCTTCCACGATAATCTCCTCGTTATCCTCGTACTCTTCAGCCGACGCATCCTGATACTGTTGGTACTCGGAGATCAAATCGTTCATATTGGACTCCGCCTCGGTGAACTCCATCTCATCCATGCCTTCGCCTGTGTACCAGTGGAGGAAAGCCTTCCGTCTGAACATGGCCGTAAACTGTTCGGAGATACGTTTGAAGATCTCCTGAATCGCCGTCGTATTGCCGATGAACGTTGCCGACATCTTCAGGCCACGTGGAGCGATATCGCACACAGCCACCTTCACATTGTTCGGAATCCATTCCACGAAGTAGCTGCTATTCTTGCTCTGGATGTTCAGCATCTGCTGATCGACTTCCTTCATCGACATGACACCTGCAAAAGGAACGAAAGGTATAAAGGAATGTGCATTAGTATTGTGTTTGTTAATCTGCTAATTAGAATTGAATAACACATTCATTATCTCCCCATAGTCAGTGTAATTAAAGGCAGTTTAGCTGGAGCTCTAGGTCCACAGAGTTTAACTGAAATTTGAGTTCTGTGTAATTAGTTTCGTTAAAAATGCGGTAACTTATGTTCAGGCATGGAAAATCATTTACATTGATTTCGTACATTCATTTACATTCATTTGCTTCCAATTTTTTCCATCAACAGAATCCCATAAAATAATGTATGAAGCTTTTGTAGGTTTTGATGCTAGCTACAACTTTTGTCAAGTGCCGATGACGGCACTTTTTCACCCCTCCCGATGCATTACGTTACGACCTGGACACCAACCGACAATTACAATGGACTATAGGACCTTAGTCAGCATATTCCACATATAAATGAGATAAATTCTCTAGGTACTTCTCTGACCATATTGTGTCTAAGGAGCTCACCCCATAGAGATCTCCTAGTACCAGTGTTGTTCCACTTATGATAAAAAAATATCGATTTGCTCTCACAATAGATCCGTTATCACTAGTGATATGCAATGGTAACTCACTCAACACATCAATCGTTACAATCTCAAATGATAAAAAATATCGCTTGAATCATAATAAAAACTAACGTGAGATTTTCTGTCACTCTACTTATAACACTCACATGCACACGGATTCTATGTGCCTCACATGCTGATATCAATAGCTTTGCACATCATAGTTCACTTTTCTACAATATTCTACTTTATCGACTACTACTTTACCGACTCAAAAATTAAATCGAACAATATATAAACAAAGCTGAGGGCAGAACATATACACATGTCTTTTAATTAAAGGGTCTGATTTGGGAATTGATCCTGGGCTGTTGGGGTGGTGCTGCTGCAGTTGCCTTCGTTCGATCTCACTGGCCCATGGTTGTTCTCATATATGGGGCTGGTTGATAAGTATGAAGTCACAACTCATGTTTTCAATGTTTACCTTGCAGAACAAGCATTTCACATCGCATTGAAATGCAAAACACTTCAAATCCATCTGTTTTGAACAGTAGTGCGATTCAATGTGCAATACACTTGAACTGATAGAGAAAGATTATCAACATTTCATAGTTTGAAACACAAGAAATCAACGTGTAGAACACATTGAACCATGGTGAAATAAACTTAAAATAAATGTGATTGTGCATATGAAATATCAACATCGATCAGACGTGTGGAATTTTTTGAGTGTACGAAGATGACGATATAAGCGTACACTGAAACAAATCGACATATACCGTTTATTGGATCCATCTTATAACATAGCAATGTCAGCATATTTATTCATTCTATGTGATGATTGATAGATTCCATTGGATTATCACTTAAAAACTATGACTGCGATATAGAATGATTTCTATCGTAATTTCACATACTTAGTACTTGATAATACTTTGCTTCGAACGTGGTTAGCGAAGGTAAGAAGTATATGAATATTGTCTGATATATTTCATGGTGAAAAACTGTTGATATGTCATGGGTGGGAACAGACATCTAGAAACTAATGGAAAATCATATAAGTTTGCACTATGAGAAAATTCAGTAAAATATACCTGTTTTCATGATGAATATTGCTCACTAAAATATATATCTTATAAGATAATCATGTATATTTTAGTGGAGTTGCTTTTACTGATTTTTGACGTTTGTTGATATGTCGTGTGTAAATAGACATGTAGAAACTATTGGACTGTCATTTAACTTTGCAGTATAGGAAAACATGTATATCTCATTGTAATAGCTTGCTTTGATTTTTGACGTTTAAAGATTGTAAACAGATCTATCCCAATCATTAAATAGTCATATAGAAATGCCTTTTAAGAAATCCAACAGCAAGCATTTGTTTTTGCATGTTTTTCTGGGATGAATATCGCTCCCAATAAAATACATCTTACATGATTGTTCTTTATAAATTATTGAAACAATTTTCAACGATGTTAACGTACACTCATTCATATGATAATTGGTTCCAGAAAAGAATGTATTGAGATTGAAAAAAAAAATGATTCTACTGTAATATTTACTTTGCTATGATTCTAATTGTAAGCCTTCTACACGGCTAATTCAGATTCCAGCCCTAAGTAGTACTCGAACTTATAATTTAGTCGTTGATTTATTGCACACAGGTGCATTAAGAAAGATTTGAACAAACCACACCACCGAAACGGAACATAAATTTGTCAGTGCTATTTGTCTTCACTCTAGCAAAACGAGCATAAAGTTGCACTACATTCCATGTCGGGAGAGCTGTTCTTACTTCATGCTATTTGAACGAGCTCAATCTTGAAGTCAGCCGTGGCCCAGTGGAATCGAGCACAGACACCGAAAGCATCACACCTCAACAGATCTTGATCGAATCCCAAATCAGCTACAATAAAAAAGGCACAACTGTGAAAGCTCCCACTGCCTGATGTTTATTTTTGGATTTATTTTTAGAAATCGATTAAATATATGTGTCAAAAGAAGAAGTAAATTTCATGTTATTTTCACATAAACTTTACTTCGATTGATTTATGACACATATATTATATTGTGGTGAAAAGTGTAGCTTATGCTTATGGGCTTCAAATCCATTTCAGTTAATAATTATAATTTGATCGATTTTCATTTATCATACGACGATCATATAAAAGTTACCAAATTATCAGCATTGTAAATGTATCAGATATTCATATAGAATTTACCTGACACATTTTCAATCATATCATTTTCAATGGATTATCTTATAGCGCAAATTTATTAGACTTCCACATAACAGGAATATGTCAAATTCGTTCAGTGTAGTTGCGCGGGGCAAAAAGAGATTATGGGTCTACAGATGTCACTACAGTGAGGGGTGGTGTACGCCAGGTAATACAACAACGTCTACTAACAATGTCGCTCAAAGTACCATACTTGCATTTTACGGAAACCCATAAAGATGCTAACATTAGCTTTAGCTCATTTGCAGCCTTACGGCCAAAAAAAAAATTAAACTTCTTAGTAAATCAGGATTCCATAATGTTTGTGTATGTACAATTCACGAAAATGTAAATCTAATGTTGAACCGCCTGAAAAAAAGATCGAATATTGTGTGATCGCACAATAGAGCTAATATACTATAGAGGAAGAACCCAACAAACAATTTTAGCTGCAGCTTAGCTTATACAGGCAAAAATTAGCTGCATAAGACACATTTCGGCTGTATAAGCTAATCTGCAGCTAAAATTGTTTGTTGGGAATAGCGCTGGTGTTCTCTTTGTTCCGATGTTGAATAATACCGGGTATAGAACTGTCAAACTGCATAGTTTTTTCTCGTTTTGACAGTTGTGTCCCTATTGAATGTAAGGAAAAGATGTTTCGACAACGACGGCAGCGCTATTCTTCCTCTATAGTTTATTAGCTCTATTGATCGCACTATTTTCGTTTGTCCACAATTCGAATTGTCAAACGAGCGATTCGAACTTTCAAACCAAGGGGGGGAGGTGGCTGTCAGATACGAACAATCGTCGCCTACCTCGCATAACTGGTTCCATAAGAAACCTACAGGGTTTGTTTACGTTTGGAACTAATTTTATGCAAGAATTATCATAAGGCTGATTTGACACTGGGTACTGCGGACTCACTTAATGTGCTTGCCACTTGGGAGTCAGTCAGAACTGTCAAACGGGAGCCAAAAATTCAGAAGCAACAAACTCAGTTACTGTTCTTACCTCTCGTCAAGCATTGCAATCTCATAAAAATGATTCATACTTTTTCATAACACATTATTAATTGTAAGCTCAAAGACAAAAACCAACAGGCTCAATGATGAAAGTATAAAAACCATGACTCAGCTGTGTTTTCAATTACAGTAAAACATACTTTGGCGAAACAAAACAATTTTAAACTTGAAGAAATTTTCAAGCAGTTTTCCATTGGCTGGCAAAATGAAATCGATTTACTCCGCAGTACTCAGATTTGACAGCACGTCCCATCCCAGTTTCAAACGGGCGATAAGATCTGTCAAACGAGGTGAGACGGAAAACCAAGGCAATATAAATTATACGTGGGTTCGTGTCCTTGCTCATGGTATGACGAGATCGTATGAGTAGATGTCGGTAGTGTTTAACGTATTTTAAATATGGCGTCTTGGGCACAAATTCGAAAGTAGCTTGTATGAGCTGTCATGTCGGTTCGTCGGTGTTGTTACGATACGTCATTATCTGAAACAAAATTATTGGAAAGGTGGAAGAGAAACAAATATTAGAAGTGTCATTTGAACAGTGGACTACGGCTGATAGGTGTAATATTGAGTTTAAAACTTTGCCTTCCGAAGATTTTTCATTTTTCTTTAAGGAAAAGTTAGGCAAATTAATATATCATGATTTTATAAAAAAATAAGCAGGCAGAATTCTTCAAATCAAAAAAACCAACACTAGAAGATGGAGAAGTCGTTGTTATTTGCGACTTTTCTTAAAAACTATATATTTGTCCAAAAGCTATCATTGGAATAATTCTCAATGTACAATTCATGCATTTGTAGCTTATTTTCATGCTAATGGTACATTAAATCACTTTAGTTTTGTGGTCATTTCGGTTATTTCAAAGCATGACACAGTAGCAGTTCAGTTGTTTATCTCAAAATTATTAAAAAATTTAAAGTCGCAAATAACTGTTCAAAAGTGTATTTTTATGTCAAATAGAGCAGCATCGCAATACAAAAACATTAAAAAATGTGCTAGCCTTTGTGGAGTTAAAGATAAGCATAAGCCACTATTCGGTGGTGGCCGAAGTTGGCTCATCCGTCAACCGATTCCAAGCTTCCCGAGCTGAGATCAGTTCCAACACTGTGTCGACTCCACTGTCGACGACGGTGTCCTTCCGAAGACGCCCGAAGGCGTTGACCGGTGTCTGCGTTCGATATCCCGGGCCAGGGAACAACACGTGCCAG